TAATACCGGACAGCGCACGTATCTACCAACAGTTATGTAGGTACTCAAGGCGCTGGTAATTATGTCTATTTTTAAAGACAGGTAAATGAAGTTTATGAGAAATATGAGACCCTTTATTACAAAGGGTATACAAGGTGCTGCAGGGCATATTGCAGCCACTACCAGAAACATCGTGGCAAACCCCTTCTCTTAGCGAAACGTGTTACTGGGTTCTTTAACGTGCATTACACAACACATGGGACCTATGGCTTTACGTCCCATCCAAAGGACGAAGCAATCATTGTAAAGTACCTTGCTCAATAGCACAAGCACCATCTTCCCCGTCGGGATTCGAACCCACGTACCACGGCACACGAGTCGAACACCGTAACCATTGGACCACAGCACCCCACAAATTGTTCAAATTGTTATTATTGAAAAACAACCTTTACAGATTTAAGACATACTTCCGATATGACTAAATTGTTAATTATAGAGTTTTTATTATTATCGGGGGATCGTTAGCTTTCCAGACTGTCTGAGCAGACAGGTTGACCTACTGCCAAAACTATTTGATAAACACCAGTGACAGGAAGTTGCTCTTTGTGATGTCCTCAAGAAATATGCCAAGTATGGGATTGATATTGGTGGGGTGTGTGCAGATACCGTATACAGGGCCTTATCAGTCCCACAGCAATTGGGTCAAAGTCATGGCTAGCCCACCGCTTCCTCTTGTTTTATAAGGTTAGCCTGTGGGATGATTACTTTGCGATAGCGACTTCCAAGCAAATGAAAAAAAAAATGAACTTTGGTCGTAAATACCGGTATGTACACAACCACAAGCACAGTGTTTTGTCTTGTCCGGATATGTTTTTTTTTTTATGAATGGGTTTGCACTTTTTGCAGCGATTTCACGTTTTCCTAATTACATCCATTAGTTATAGGGAACCACCATGGGCGTCGCAAGGATTTTTTCGGGGGGGGGGGGACCAAAGCACATTTTTTTCTCAAAAAACCTTGTGCTTTCTCTAGCATATTCTCAATTTATCATTTATTTCGAGGGTTGGCGGAGGACATTTATCCACCCCACCCCAAAGATCCCAAATCAATTGTATCTGGTACTTCTGTGTTGTTACACTGTAAAAAAAGTTGGGTCAAAATGGGTTGACAATTCGACCAATGCTGGTCGAATTATCGACTGCCTACACTCTTGGGCAAATTCTTCCCGATAGTTTGACAGTTTTTAGCCAATTCAACCCAATGTGAGGTAATTTCATACCAATGCTGGGTAAATTATATTGCCCAACAGTGTTTTATCCAACCTTTTTACAGCACTTGTAGAATTACTAGCAATATATAAGAACTGAATTCTAGAGATGTTTACTTTGAATATATTTTATTATCATGAAGCCAAGTCCTATGGCCAACGCCAGATGTTAAAAATTTGAGAAAAGTTTGAGATTTATAGTATACATATTTAATAAGTGAAAATCAGTAAAAGTTAACAGAGAGATATAAAACTTACATTGTACCTAGGAAAAAAAATGGAGGGGAAATACAGCCAGGCTTAGGCCAAAAAAAAAAGTCTCCGGTTTCTGGTATGCGCGTGCGTCGCCGTAGCCATGCGCGTCGGCAAAATGAAAAAGTTTTTTTTTTAATGAAAGATGATGTCTCAAAACCGCCAAACTCACTGGTTTGACTGGAATTCTGCTGCTGCGCCTTTTCTACGTGTTTTTAGATGGGGTTATGATCGAGAATAAGCTTTATGTGGCCTCTCTGGACTCCCATATATTTGCACTAAGTTTAGTCGGGCACCATTTGCAGTCATCAGCCGACATTTGAAGCAAAAAAGTCGGGTAAAAAAAAAAAAAGCCGCGTCGCCGCACCACTTTTTGGACAAGCTCCATACCAGAAACCGGAGATTTTTTTTTTTGGCCTTATCTTAAGTTGTTTTTATTCACGAGAAGTAAACTTTTGCAATTAATGCTTTACTACTTTATCCAGCTGTCCACATTTGATTTATTGCCACTGTTGAAAAACTGTTTCACAAAGTGTATAAATCAAGCTGTGAACCACAGGAGATGAAATTTGGCCTAGATATTAAACCTAATTGTGCTGCTGATGAGATTGCCCCCATCAAAAAAAAAATATCCACACCTCAAGTATGCAAATACAAAGTGTATTTAGTTTACATTGTGTTTGAAGCCATAAATTTTGCACAATAAATTTTCCACTAGTACCATAAAACCACAAGGGGCTGAGTTAATCCAGCGCAGACTTGGCGCTGAGTGCCTTACACTTTCGTCAATCAACTCACAGATTGCTCAACCACAAAACCCACACCTCTCTCTTGTTGCCAATTGACAGGGAGTTCTTCTCACTTGTCCTGATCCAAATCAGGTGTGACACCTTTGGAAAATCTACCTAATTATCACCCGTATTTTATTTTAAGGTTGTTTCAGGGAAATGTTTTTCGCTTCCGTTTGCCTTTTTGATTGTTGTCTGCTTTTTGTAAAAAAAGTCGCCAGAAATATTGGACCGAGAGTCCAGATTGGGATCAGAGTGTAATTGAGCAAACCACAGAGTCTCGGCCCACTTGACCGATGCCTGGAAGTGACCATTGAAGAGTGAAACCACTGACTAGTCAGTGATGAAACCACCTCCGCTGTTGGGTGTGTGCCGATTGATGGATGGATGGCTCGCTTTGTGAAGGCAGACGCCCTCTAGCAGTGGCAAACACCGTTGTTGAAAACAGGGGAATAGCCGCTAAGCATAGCCTGTCATCAGAGTAATGTTAAACTCTACACGAGTCTCAATCAAAGAGCACCAGGGCCTCAGGACATTTCAAGAAATTTATGAAACAGCTCTTGTTTACCATGTTTAGAATAACTAAGATGTGAGTAGAGCAAGAGGAGACATAAGGAAAATTCATAATGCACAATATAAAAAAGCATCACATCCTACATGTATTTATCAAACTTCAGTAACACTTGTACACATGTGTGAATGGGGACCCAAATGGTAGCAGAAATGCAAGTTCTTTTTCAGTTTGTGGTTGATTCTGGTCTTTATTCTACTGACCTCAGGTGTATAGGTTGTGCCTCCACAGATCCCCCCACCTGGATCCGAGAAGGTACCCTTCCCTTTCCAAGCTCAAATGTCTAATCATACTATTTACAATGTAATGTACTCCAAAGTAGCAGTTGGTTTGAGCAGATGCGTAAAATTGCTGAACAACATGTCAAGGAGAGAAGATTACAAATGAACTGATTCCCCGTCTATTATTATTATTATTATTAATTATTTCTGGTAATGAAACTAAGGATTCCTCAAAAGCGCCCAAGGCACTGTAGCTCGCAAGCCTGAATAACCTGTAGAGAGCAGACAATGAGTTCTAGTTTTAGAGGTGGGAGGAAAACCCCAGAAGAATGTTCTGGGGAAAACCCACGGAATCAGGTATAGTGACTGAAAACCCAATCCACGTGTTGGCCCAGGTGGGATTCGAACCCGGGTCACATCGATGGAAGGCGGGGAAAGTACTGCTACGCCAACCTGACTTCCCAGTGCCAACCTGACTCTATAGGATGATCTCCTGTCTCCTGTGATCTCAGCCCCAGTTTTCTTGTTTCATCGCAAATTATACAGGCATTCCAATTAGATACATGAAGTCTACAATAGATACATGAAGTCTACAATAGATACATGAAGTCTACAATAGATACATGAAGTCTACAATTCCTGTCTTAGCTAAACTTTTGTAATTCTTAATTGTTTACAATGTAGGTGCAAGTGAGTACTTCTTATTAGACCATCTTCCCTGAATGATCTGTCTTCAATTTTGATTTTTTTTTTTAAAGTTTATAAATCAGTTGTTTTAATATTGTGCTGTTTTGTGTTGTACATGTATATATATACATGATCCTATACTTTGTTGTAATTTTATGCTTCTATTCCTTTTAACTGCTATTTAACAATTTTTAATTCCTGTAAAGTGTAAACGTGGTTATATCAGCGACTCTTTTGTGGCTACCTACCTCGTGTTTTTATATAAATAAACCAGAATAAACCAGAATAATAATAAAGCCACAGGGAAGATCGAAGTGGTCATTAGATATGCATACATATTTTGAAGTGATTTGTGGTCACTTTGTTTGATGAAATCTATGACTCTGTCTTTGAAGACCTTGATAGTGGACGTAACAACCGAATCTGGTAACTTGTTCCAATCCCTTTATGTTCAGGGTAGAAATGAATTTCTGTAAGCATCCCATAGGTTTGATTTTAGTTGGTAGTTGTGGATCTGCATGTGCTTGTTGGCACTGACTGGATAATTCCCCGTGTGGGTTTTCTTCATCGGAACTAATCTATATATAGCTGCTTCACATGTCGCTGCTGTAAAGTATCCCATCCCAAGTTGGTGATCATATCAGTCATGCTGGTTAATGTACATGTAGTGTAATTATTGCAAACAAAGCATGCTGCAATTGCTCCATTTCTGAGGTTCAAGTTGGTTCTTGGATGCCATATCAGTTCCCCTTTGATTTTTGCAGTAGACTTCTTAAGATCACCCTAGCATCACACAAGATCTTCACTGAAGAAAGCCATCTAATATCAGGGATATGTTTTTGTAGAGTTTGGAGGATTTTGTGGGACTGAGTATAGTGCAACCAACCACTAATAAAATGCACCTGATTTCAGATAAGGTTTGATGCCATTGGAGGTTCCAAGAATGTTCCCGTGGTTTTTTACAGGATCATTAAAAAAGGTGCCAAATAAAAATGCCCTTGGGAGTTATCACAAATCACGTCTATTTTTACCAAGGTGCTGGAGGTGCGGGATAAATTGGAAATCAGAAGTCCAGTTTTCAAAAATCCTACTTTCAACTGCCTTCAGTACAACTTGAAGGCAGTCATTTTTTACATTTTTGGTCTGGTTCTCATGTTGATATCTTAGATTTAAGTCTCTTTTTTTCAGGTTTGTAACATTTTTCCTCTTTTTTTCTTTCTATCATCCCCCATCAGTTTCCTCCCGATCTGCAGAGATTAGTCAAGAATCTACGCATGCTGGATTTATCCAGCAACAAGATCCCTGCCCTTCCTCCGACGATCGGTGGGTTTGATGCGCTGAAGAGCCTGAATGTCAACAACAACAGACTGGGTAAGTTAGAAAGAAAAAAAATAATAAATCTCAGTTAGAATTTGTAGCAAACCACCAAAAACAAATGCTTGGCAATGTGGTCTTTTGGCGTAGCAATCCTTCTGAATAATTCCCTACTATGCATTCAATACTGGCATGTGCTTTTTCAAACTTTCAAGTTTCTTTTTCGAACAAATTTTGAAGGAATGTAATGTCCTGTAAGAAATAAATTTGCTTGTTTGCATTTGCAGGCCTTTATACAGTTTTTAAAAAAGTGGTTTTACACAGCGTGTTTCAGTTCAGAAAGTTTTTGGCGAAACGCTGTAAATATTCAGTCTAGTGACGTAGCCATATTCATGTATATGTATGTTAGTTTTGGATTGACGTGTTTTGTATTAATTAGCTTGGTACGATGGACTGATCCTAGCTACATGATGATCATGGCCTGTCAACAATTGCCCAAGACATGCTCCGCGATCTATGTGCAGCTGCACCACATATCCTACGTTCTATCCCAATGTCTGCTACCTTTGCGTCTTTTCCTCTCAGAGGATTGCAAAACCTGTAGTTTTCCAAGTCTACATGTAGTTTTACATGGTCGCACTAATGGCACGTACGCGTGTACACATGCACGTTATGCACAGTTAGTCTGTACACAGCTCACACGTACGTTACTTGTAATGTGTGGTGTTTATTATTATTCATAAACTGGACTGTCAGCAGAGTGCATACGTAGCTAGGTCCCGTTGGCTACAGATTCAAATTAGAAGTGGGCACTGCTAATTAAAAACTTGAATTTTTGTGTGCGATATCTCATTTGAAAGCTCATAACTAATGCAATGCTACAAAATTCATTTGAAAATCTATTTTTCGGGGTACCACACCCAAAAAGCATGTACATGTATAACTTTAAATGTCATTTATGGCAAGATCTGCAGGTTTTGATCTCAAAATTCTACTACTTGTCATTTGTGTCAATGAGCAAAGTGTTCAGAGTGGCAGTATTTTTTGTTTTCAATAATACGGTTAAAACTTCTAGATCTACAGAGTGATTTGTACAAACAAGTGTTACAAATCATTTACCCCACCAGTCGACATCCCATCTGCCAAATGACTTTCATTCTTGCACGTCTTTGGGATTAGGGAAAAAAAAACACGCTCCCACCACCCTTGGGGTTTGGGCATGTCCTCCTTTAGTTTTAAGTTCATTGCCAGGTTAGGGCAATCGGTTATAAATTCATCCCTTGGAAAAGACAACAAAAAAAGAGTGCCCGAACCCTCAGCTGTCAGTGGTCCAATTTATGCATGTTTGTGTGGTTTAGCTGTCAAACAAATTAACACCTCTGTCATGCCCTTGGAGGCCTCCCCCCCCCCCCCCCCCGGAAAAAAAAGTGTTTTGCCCAATTTGAAGAATGATAAAATTTACAAGTGGTAGACCTTGGTTCATTAAAACGAGCAGTTCATTTTGCCTTTCTTCTGCCGCTGTGGCATGATTCGTTTCATCAAACATAATTCAGTACTGTAGTTTGAAAGTAGTTCTTTATAAAGAAATAAGCTATCAATAATGTTTCTACATTTTATGTTGTGTTACTGTTCAAAATACGTAATGCAAGTATGAAACTGTTTTAAGGTTTAACACAAAATTGACAAGTCACAGATAATTAGCCAAGAAGGTTCACAAGTTCACTTAAAAATTTGGAATGGCAAATTGCTTGAGCTTTCTGAGTATTAATACATGTGTAGTACCACTGGGTGAGTAACTCGATTACTCGAGCACTAGAGCGTGGTTTATACTACTCTTGCTACTCGTGATTTTTCATATGGAGTACTCGTCCTTGCACGAGTAGAAGCAGGTACTCGCGAGTAACAATTTAGGGTTTAGGGTTCACGGCTCAATACGTCCCCTGCAAACAGGGAATCACTCCCTCCACCTCTCTCTCCCCCCATAGGTTTCCATTCGTCAAAATAAGAAAAGTTAAAGTAAATGACTCAAAACGTCACACAGTAAGGATATCGCATTGCTGAGGAATGTGGCGTGACTTGCACACTATTTGCTTGTAAGTTACTTCCCGTCATACTAACTTGTCATTTTTCTGCTTTCATGGGAATTCGGTTAACTATTCACGAGTACTCGATTACTCGTGACTAATTTCTTTGCGAGTATACTCGCGTAGAAAAATCCACTACTTGCCCAGGCCTAATGTGTTGGTATGTGTACATGAAAGTTTGACATTCCAAGTTCGTGGGCCAGATATTACACACCCACCCACCCAAGTCTGTGGTATCAGTGACATGTGGGACCTTCTTTGACTGTGATAGGTAATAGCACTTTGTCGGAACCTTCTGACATCTTGGCTGATATTTCAAGGGTTATCTCAAATTTGGATGGGTTGGGAGAGGGACTTAGAGGAAGGGTTTGTGGTGTACGTGTCGATGAGAAAAGAGAGCGGGTAAATAGGTCTGTTCTATATTAAAGATAGGAACATTTTGTGTACTTTGTAGGTTTATCTTCAACTAAGAATTCTGGTGATATGCTTGAAGTGTACTTGAATAAAGCATACAGGCACTTACATGCACCGGTGGAGTATGATACAGATCCCATAATCTCCTAAATAGTGTCGGTCTTCAGCCACTCACCCAAAAGGGCTATTGAGTACATACTGCAGTGCATGTGGCTTAGTCATGAGCAAAAGTGCCTTTCACACAATCCAAAATCTCCGTGTTGGACCCGTGTCCATAACAGAGATTTCAGGAAAGCTTTTCACAATTTAGCAAGAATCCAACACGGCTTCTATATGGGTCCGGCACTCTACACGGGTGAAATTCAACCCTAGTTGGGACCTGGGTTAGGCTTCATTGATCTACCGGAGTAGAAAAATCCAAAAATCTTCAGGCAACTGTGCCTGAAGATCCGTGTTTGATGAGACCCATGCAGTTCTGTTTTAGAGCGTGAAGTCTCGCAGTCTACGTTCACTTTTCATGTGAATGTCTTGATACCAAACACTGACTAGTTAAGTCACAGACTCCCGTGTTTGAATTTACGCAATTGTTGTGAGTGCGATCGACTGAACAGATGTTGTGGTCAACTACTTTAATTTTATAATAGTCATCAATTTGCAATATTGCAGTATGTTGTACATTTTTGATTGTAAATTGTAATGCTTTTTCTTTCGAAATACCCATTTATTGCCCTTGATTGGATGGGCCCAGTCAGGACACAAAAATGAATGAAAAACAAATAGTGCATTAAAATAGTGCATGAAAAAAATAGTTCAAATAATCCTATTCATTGTGCCCAAATGTGCTGTATTCTCAGAAAATCTTGCAGGTTTTTTTAGGGTGAACTTACAGCTCTATTGTGGACCCACGTGAGGGAGGTGGAAGTGCAAAAAGGCCTAAATTAAATAAATAGTTTTTCATGCATCCCATCAGCCTCTACCAACCATTTCCAAAAAAATTTACATAACAATTACATGATTTATACGTGAAGTGTCTTTTTTTTTTGGCTCCTGGGAACCAGGATATGAAAAGACTTCAGATGTCTAAGTGAAGAAGTGTTACCGTTATTACAGGCATCCACAGACAATTCCTCCCCTCTCCTCCTCCTAGGCTGCTGCATCCTTGTGTTTTCACTGTTCAGATTCTGCATCAACTGTTTTCTTAGACTCTCTGCTCAGATGGTCAAGGAATAGACTTGGTGACCTCAATGAGAAACGATTACTGAGGAGACACTTGAATGTAGGTTACAAACACAAATGCTGCGATGCATGATTGACGTAATGTGTGAAATACACGTGAGTGCAGTAACATCTCGCCAACATTTTATAATCAATTTGAGATGTGCTGTACGTGTTGCTTCTCCAGTAAGTTTCAGATATTATGTTTGATATCGATGATACTCAGATCCAATTGAATTTTCATTTTGATTTTTTGACCTTTTGGTTCAGTTTAAACAAATCTTTACATTTGCTGCAATGTGTAGTTGAAAATGAAATCCTTGTGTGACTGTCTCAATAATGACAGTTGTCCCTTTCACTCAGAATGTTTTGTACGCATTTGAAAATCAAAGTTCTTGTTTGCGAAAAAAAAGTCTGTAGATGCAGTGTTATAAAAACTCCCATAGAAATACATCAAAATGAGTTCTAAATAAAGATACATAGGGTACACAAATGGCAGCTGAAAACTTGCCCAGGTTGCATTCTGTCTTGAAATGTTTTTACCTGTTCTCTCTGGATCGCTCCAAAAGTTCCAACTGTGTCCCCGACCTTTAGAATTGTCACAAAACACCCGAAGACATCCGGTGACTGATCGTGTCACCTGGCTGAAAGACCTAGGAACCCTTATGATACCCACTGCCATAGCTGCCATCCCCTCTCAGCAGGTCACTTCCATCTTGGATGCTGGCCAAGGTCAGCGTTGATCAGGAACAGGTTTGTCAATTTAGTAAACATGGGAGGGGCTCCATCAGCAGCTATAGTGTTGGGGTGTAAGAGCAGGATCCAGTCATCCTCAGGTGAATCTTAGGCCAAGTCCAAATTATTTGGCTACGGCTTGAAATTACACACGAGTCTATGGGAAGTGGCTGCAGCCGCTGCCATAGACATGTGTGTAATATCAAGCCATAGCCAAGTAATGGCTACATGAGTCTATGGGAAGTGGCTGCAGCCGCTGCCATAGTCATGTGTGTAATATCAAGCCATAGCCAAGTAATGGCTACATGAGTCTATGGGAAGTGGCTGCAGCCGCTGCCATAGTCATGTGTGTAATATCAAGCCATAGCCAAGTAATGGCTACATGAGTCTATGGGAAGTGGCTGCAGCCGCTGCCATAGTCATGTGTGTAATATCAAGCCATAGCCAAGTAATGGCTACATGAGTCTATGGGAAGTGGCTGCAGCCGCTGCCATAGTCATGTGTGTAATATCAAGCCATAGCCAAGTAATGGCTACATGAGTCTATGGGAAGTGGCTGCAGCCGCTGCCATAGTCATGTGTGTAATATCAAGCCATAGCCAAGTAATTT